TTGAATTCAGCAGCTGTGCATTTCTGTAGTAGGTTTATAGAAAGAGAAATGCCACATTTCCGAGTGCTAACTTTGGTCTGAATTATATAGTGATGTTCTAACCTTTAATGACCCTAACAAGTAACTGAAAGTGTTTGGCTTTAGCTTTGACAAATTATTTTTATTTGAAGTGTTTTTATTTTGAAATCTTATGAAGCCTGTAAATAGGATTTGTACAAAGTAAAATTGCTGTGTTTTTTTCAAAATGAGACCTTAAACAAAGGCATTGCTTATACTTGGCGACAAGCTAATTTCAGCAATTTATTGTTTTGCCCACAAAATATACAGTCAATTCACTTTACAGTATATTCTGTGAAGCTCTTTGAGATGTCTTAATGATGTGATAAAGCACTGTATCAAATGCATGGATTATTATTGCTTCCCTGCTGCATTAAAACTGGTGCTTTTCCTTTGATTGAATTAACAAAATGAAAACTGAGTGAATATGTTATTCAGATAAGTTCTTGCTCTAATACTTCACCAGTTTGCATTTGATATTTAAAGCAGAACTTTGTGATACAGACATGCTGGGAAAAGTTCTGCATTTAAAAATATTTAAAATGCATTGTCTGTTTAAACATAATATTGGTTTACATTCAGACAAATAATCTAAAAAGGTGATCCTCAGGGTGATCTATCTTTGCATTATCCAGTCAAAGCAGATGAAATTGCAGTTGGGCACACTGTAATCTGCAGGAGGTGACTGTTAATCACCCTCTTTGGGATTGGTTTTTATAAAAACAAAATTAGTTCTTTAGAAGGAAGAAAAATATTTGACAACAGACTTGGATGATAAAGCTATCAATACTCTGTTGTGTGATTATGGGGAATATACAAGTTGGGTTGTAATTTGCAACCATATAGCTATGTCTTTGCTTTGAATTGCTAGGTTGGATATTTAACTGAGAAATATGAAATTAGTGGTGAGGTATGTATGTCAGAATAAGAAAAATTCTTATTCTGTATACATGTGCTTTCTGTAAGGATTACTTCTGATCCTTTTATTCAAAAAAACACTTTATTACATTTTCACTGAGTTTTTTCCACAGTTGAGATTCTTGCTACGGTCATCTGCATATACTTATCTGTTAAAAAGACCTACCCTCTTTATGCATGAGTATCATATACACCTCCTCCTCCACATGTACATGCTTTTGAAATTGTTTAATGATGGGTGGGATGGAGGAAGCTGAGATTTGGCTACAAAATTCTGGCACAATAACCAAGCCATCTTGCAGTAAACCTTTTAAATATGTCTAGGGTGTGTTTTTCACGTGAATACTCTAAAAAGCACTTGTATTTGCTATTCTGGACGAATCCTTTAGATTCTCCATGGCTGATTTTGCAGTTCTTTGCCTGTACTTCCCAGATGTCTGCCTGCTTAGAGATAAATGTCTACCCGTTCCATACAACTTCCATTCATTGTCCTCTCCCTCTCTCCTTTCACCTCCCGACCATGAGACCTATCTCCTTGACAGTACTTTTGGCTATCCTCCCCATCCCTCCCCCACCACCACCAGCTTGGGCTCACAGTCAGTTGTGTTAAGCATTTTGAGATGTCGTTTTGACGTGAAAAGTGCTTTATATATAAATTATTTTGTTCTGAAGATCATCTTACTGAATATAATATATGGTGGGCAGCTGAAATTTTTGCTCAGGTTTGGCTTAAGAGCAGTCCCCTTTTTCTGTTATATGCTCAAAATGGCTTTCCGCAAATTGGCTTTTAACTTTTTAAAACAGCTAACTTCTATTGTATAAACAAAGGTATAACTTTGAACTGGTACCCACGGGTACTAACATGGTATGGAGAAAAGGTGAAATGATTTTGTTAGTGTAAAACATGCACTGAAAATGGATCAATGAGCATTCAATACATAAATTATGAGGAGTAATGCCTGCATTCTCATTACATATGATCTATGTATCTTCAATTTATAATTTGTGTAATATAGTACTTTAGAAAATTCTCATACAATTTGATTTTCAGAGTACCCAAAAAAGCTTTTGTGTTAATTATATTTGCAGTTTAAGGATTAACATTTAAATTAATTGACTGTTTCTCGGATTCTTTCTTGGAATGTTCGGGAAGTCTCCTCTCTCTTGGAAGTGCCAATTAATTATAATTATAACAATAATTATAATGTTAATGAAATGTCATTAACATTCTAATTATTAGAATGTTACTTTAAGAATTAAATGTCAGATAAAATAAACATTTACAGAGGATTGAAGCAGCGCGTTTAATTCTTGGAGTGAAGGATTCAGTGTGTTTCTGCAGCGCCAAGTGATACAGTGATGTATCACTTTAGGTTGCGTCATTGTTGGGACAGGGAAATATTTTTTTATTGCACAGGCACTGAAGTAAGAAAACAGATATGAATGATTTGGAAGAAGTTGAAAGTTAATTGGAAGGTTAATTTCAATAGGAAGTTTTTTTTAATAAAAACACTTTTTTCTACCTTGCTCGATATGTTTTAAATTTTACTTTATTTTCCCTCCCTGCGACTTTGGCCTTTACAGGCACAAGATGATGTTGACAACTAGCCTACTTCATAAGTTATTACGACTCTATAGGGATTTGTGTATTTCTGCATATTTTATTAAGATTTGATACATAGGTTGTAGAATCAGAATCATTTACTGATTATTTAAGCACAACCTGCCCTTTAACAAATACTTTTTGAGTGGTCACAATTGAGTGGTCCATATATTTTCAAGTGTTCATTTCAACAACAACTTGCATTTATATAGTGCCCTTCATGCAGAGTCGTTTTGGAGTGTATAATTAGTGTTAATTTGTGAATTAACACTAATTCACTAGATTGAAGCAATTGACTACAATTTGTCAGATAAACTGGTCTATAGTTATCTGGCTAATCTATATGAAGTTTATACAGTAACATTTGCATAAGTTTTATACTTATAAATAATCTAATCGTCTTAAGTCGTACATGCACCTGAGTCCATTCAGTTTCCTATCAAATCCATTTAGATTTCTTTGCACTAGTCTTATTAATCATATCCTAATTTGTAAACCTGCTCCCCTATCCTCCATTTCACCCGCACTTACTGGCTGCATTGAATAGAGGCTAGTGACATCCTGACTGGTTGCAGCACTTAGCGACTGGCTGCATTGAATTGCAGGAAACATAGTCTTGATCTGTCGACGCATATGCAGAAGAACTTAAATTCCCGCGATGCCAATGCTTGCCGATAAGTGCGCATACGGCAATGGATCAAATCGCATTGAATCGCGGGAAATGTAATCTTGACTAGTCCACGCATGTGCACTTACTGGCTGCATTGAATTACATATGGCAATGTAGATTATTGATTAAATGGGATCTTATATGACTTGCACAAGTTTACGTGCAACTCGAACTTTATGTAAATCATATTAAATGTCATGTTCCTGCCAGATATGATGTGTGTGAGTTTTATTATATGCTGGAGGTTTTTTTATTCGAATCCACAACAGAACTTTAGCTGACATTCCAGCGAGTGCTATATTTTTGGAGTCGCTGTCTGAGAGACGAGGAGCTAAACCCTAGTTATTCAAAGAATACAATACAAATAAAGAGGAAACTCCCCCAGTCTTGCCCATCATTTAAGGACTGTTTAGTCTGTTTTTTATCTGCAAAAAAATGGAGTTTTGGGGCCTGTTTGTTTTGTCAAGCATGGAAATCTTGAAACTATTTTGCTAATTTTTGCAGCAAGTACAATTAAAATGTTAGTCAGCACAGTATTAAACATACAGAATGTAGTTTCCAAATTGAGCAAAAGAAAATATAATACAACAACAAGATTGCAATTATAGAACGCCTTTCACGTCGGGAGGACACCCCAAGGCGCTGGACAGTTGGGTCGGGACCCGAGCAGGGGGGAAATGGTCAGGGTGAGGGAAGGGAGGGAGCGAGGAGGGGGAAATGGTCAGGGTGAGGGAAGGGAGGGAGCGAGGAGGGGGAAATGGTCAGGGTGAGGGAAGGGAGGGAGCGAGGAGGGGGTAGAGAGTCAAGAGGGGAGCTGAAGGCTCGGTTGAAGAGAAACGTCTTGAGACCGGCTTTGAAGGAGGAAAGGGAGGAAGCGGCGAAGGCACTGGGGGATGGAGTTCCAGAGCCTCGGGGCTGAGAGGCTGAAGGCCCGACCACCGATGGTAGGGCGGTTGGGGCGGGAGATGTGGAGCAGATCGGAGCCAGAGGAACGGAGGGTACGGGCAGGTAGGTAGGGGGATAGTAGGTCGGAGAGGTAGGAGGGAGCGAGGCCGTGAATGGCCGTGTAGGTGAGGATGAGGATCTTGAATTCGATCCTCTGGGGGATGGGGAGCCAGTGGAGGCGAGCGAGGGTGGGAGTGATGTGGTTGTGAAGCCTGGTGCGGGACAGTACATGAGCTGCAGAGTTCTGAATGACCTACAGCTTGTGGAGGGAGGTGCCGGCAAGGCCGATGAGGAGAGAGTTCCTGTAGTCCCGGGGGGGATGGGAATGAGGGAGGAGAGGTTGGCTCCCCGGGTCTGTGTCCGGGGTGGCTGGCGAGTATGGTGGGGAATGGGGCAGTGGCTGCTGGACAGCCAACGCCGAGTGCCACGATGAGCCCGGCGGAGGATTCCTGGGCTGGAACAGAGGGAGGTTGTGGGAGGGTTAAGTGGTTATAGAAGGCGAGGGGACGGAGAGAGAGAGGAGGACAGAGAGGGAGAGATGCAGAGGGGGGAGGGTTTGGGGGGAGATAGGAGGGGGGAGGGAGAGAGGGGATGAGGGGACTCGGGTCAGAGAAGCAGCCATAGTGCGCACGCGGGGACCAGGAGCGAGCGGTCAGGTGGGTTAGCAATGTTTTGTTACCAAATGTATTTGAACAACATTCTGTATGATTCTAATATTTCTGAGCATAAATGAATTGGATTAATTGTCATATTACTGCAACCTGTTTAGTTTACAGATGCAAAAATAGTCTTGTTTTTCTCTTGCAGGCAGTTGAGTCGATACAAGCTGAAGATGAGAGCGCAAAATTGTGTAAACGTAGAATTGAACACTTGAAAGAACACAGCAGTGACCAAGCAGCAGCAGTTAATATGTGGAAGAAAAAACGCATGGACCGTATGATGGTGGAACACTTGCTGCGATGTGGCTACTATAACACTGCGGTTAAACTGACTAAACAGAGTGGAATTGAGGTGAGCTCAACCTGAAAGCAAGCACTGCTTTTTGTAGATTTTCAATTTTTATTTGAAAATAGAAGGGACATTTATTCCCTTCTAAAGGTGAGATGTTGGGCAAGTTTCCTTACTCCACACACCTCTGTTTACCTAGCAGTAAGTAGGAAAGCAGTTGTTAGTCAATTGGCAGATCGCTTTTCTGGGTGTAATAATTCCTTCAAAAAAAAAATAATTTGGTCTCAATCCATGACTGTTTGTGGGACACTGCTGTGCACAATTGGCTGCTATGTTTCTCCCTCAAAATATACCGTCAGTGCACTTTACAGTATATTCTGTGAAGAGTTTTGAGATGTCTAGAAGATGTGATAAGGCGCTATATCAAATGCAAGGATTATTATTCAGTTCATGTACCTTATTTGATATTATGTACCTCAGAATTTTCTGTGCTGCAGTTGTGTTTATATTGAACCAAGTGGGTCCCACAGCGAGTCTGAAGATAAGAACTAAGCTATATTATTGTATGATAGTCATTGTATTTCATTAATTGTATTCACTGCATAATTCTGACTGTCAATTTAGGATTTCCTCTGCAGCACACATTCTCATCTCTAGCCTTGTATTGCTGCCCCATTTATACTTCAGTATTGGTTTGACAGAGGCACTGGTTTTAAGACAACATGTCTGAGGTATATTGATAGCTGCAAATCTTGCTGTCGGGTTATAACACTTGTGTGTTGTACACATGCATACCAGATTCTCAAACTAAAAATAGCCAACAACAACTTGCACTTATATAGCGCCCTCCACGCAGGGTAGGGTCTCAGAGCGCTTAACAGTGGCAGAACCTGACTCTGAGCCTGGGTCGGTGGGGGAGCTGACCATAAGCATGGTCGAAAAGGAAGGTTAGGAAGGTTTTCAGATGGGACTTGAAAAAGGGGAGAGGGGGCAAGCCCTAATGTGGGGGAGGAAGGACAGCTGGGGGTCGAACCAGACGCCGAGATTGCACATAGGTTTGGTGAGTCTGAGAGAGATCCCGGGGAGGTTGAGAAGTTTATATCTGCAGGAGTGAAGACGTTGATGGGAGCCAAAGAGTATGGCTTCCGTCTTGTCCACATTCAGCTGCAGAAAGTTTACACTCATCCAGGCCCTGATGTCTGCCAGACAAGCTGATAGAACATCGGTGGACCTGGAGTTGGTACTGGAGGAGGCAAAGTAGATTTGTGTGTCATCTGCATACATGTGGAAGCTTACCCTGTGTCTGGATGACATCGCCAAGAGGGAGCATATAGATGAGGAAAAGATGAGGGACAAGGATGGAGCCCTGGGGTACCCCACAGGTGACCAGGCGGGGGCGGGAGGAGAAACCATTTGCCGAGATGAAGTGGAGGCTATTGGTTAAGTAGGACATGAACCATGCAATTGCCTTCCCACTAAGGTGGATGAGGGAGGAGAGGCCGTGGTGGAGGTCTTTATAAATGAATCCACCTTTGAAGGAGGCATCTTATGATGGAGTTGCCCAATAGTTTACATCATTATGCATTATTACACATTTTTAAAGCAAATTTGGTCATCAGAATGGGTTTTAGCTCCTATCCTATATCATTTTGAAAGTTTGAGATAACATGAAACATATTGAATCCATTTCAGCCTGTATTGGGAAATAGCCTGATGCTGATAGTCTGCTTGATCAGGCACTATTTTCTGTCCAGCTAACACTATGGTCTAGATTTTGTTCCAAATGTCAATTGCGATTTGAACTGTGTTAGTTAATATCTTTCCCAATAAAAATATATGATTTAGATTGAGATGGGATAATCCCCTGAATATGCTTTGAAACACAAGTTCCATATCTAAGGAATTCAATCTAAGAAATTAATCTGAACAATGAAGGCCTTAAACTGATCAAAGTTGAAAGGATTTTGAATTTGCTGTCACTGAGCATTTTCATTGAATAAATTTGCCATGATCCACAAAAACCTTACACGAAACAGGAACAATTTCTTCCAAATTTGGACAGCTTTGTTAATGTCAGCATTAAATAAGATATCTAGTCTGTTTTGAAAAGTGTATATTTTTTAAAAAATTTATAACGTGGGTATGAATAAAATACTGTGAACTGGAAATGTTTTCATTTCATTCTACTTTGATCAGTTTGCAGCTTTCATACTTTAGATTAATATCTTAGATTGAATTCCTTGGTTATGAAATTTAACATGCTTGAAATCATATTCATAGGATTATCCTGTCTATATTTAGTCAGAAGGTTGTGGGTTCAGGCCCCACGTTGGCACTTGAACTCATATAGTATGAGTTGACACTCCAATGCAGTGCTGGAGCAGATGCATTGTCGGAGGTGCTGTCCTTTGAATGAGACATAAAACTGTGGTCCCGTCTGCCTGTTCAGGTGGACGTTAAAGATCCCCCGGCACTATTTGAAAATAGAACAGAGTTTCTCCCAGTGTCCTGACTGACAACCTCCCAAATAAAATTGGTGATTAGTTTCATGGCTCTTTAGGGGACACTGGTCTGCAGCGTTCGGAGACAAATACACTAAATTCAATGAAGCTCTTTGGGGCATCCTCCTGATGAGAAAGGCGCTATATACAAAATTATTATTACGTGTGGCTAACTGGATCGAGTTACATGAACAAAAAATTCCAGACTGCATAACACAATTATAGAGTGCTTAACTGACAGGATATATACGTGGATTAGGCAGTTGAGTTGGGAAATGTGAACACTAAGGTTAGCCAGCATTTCAATATTAGAGAGTATGGCCTGATTTCTCCCCCCCCCCCCCCCCGCCCAGCGTGCGATGAGAAAAAAATTCAGTTACTATTTTGAAATAAATATCTTTAGTCACATATTTAGTGAACATTTCTGGAGTCAAATCACAGGGCCAACTTTTGAGATGAGTTGTTTCCCCCTCCCCTGTTTCTCTTGTTTTTGTAGGGTAACGCTCGCTTTGCAAGTGAGAGGACCCGGGTTCGATTCCCAGACAGGTGAAACATTAAGCAAGTTTTTTTTGTTATTCCACAAACCTCTGTTTACCTAACAATAAGTAGGAACCTGGTTGTTATTCGATTGGCAGATCGCTTTCTGGGATAATCACTTAAATTTAAAAAAAATAATAATTTGGTCACTCAATCCACGACTGTTTGTGGGTGCAATTGGCTGCCGCATTTCGCCCACAAAATATACAGTCAATTCACTTCACAGTATATTCTGTGAGGCACTTTGAGACATCTTGAAGATATGATGAAGTGCTATAGCAAATCCAAGGATTATTCTTATTCAAATGTATGAAATATTTTCAGAGAAGCATAGGAATATATACAACTGGAAGAAACTCAAGTAAAGTACCAAATAAATCCTATAATATCTTTCATACCCAACAATCTTATTTTAGTCAACTAACTATCTAATTCAGTATTTAATTTTCTGACACATTTTGCTTCTGTTCCTTCCCTGGAAAATCTATTCCTCATACTCTGCAAAGTTATTTAAGATGAATTCTCCTTGTTGTAGAGTTTGTAGCAGGTTAAAGTATATGAGGATTGAGTCTATCTCCACCCTTAAGGATTGTGAATTCTTCCAATAGGATCTCTCCTGAACTTTTCCTTTTCCAGATTGAAGATAGTCAGCTTCAATAGACCCTTCTTGTAACTTACCTTGCCTAATTCCAACTGTCAATCTAGCTTCCCCTTTAGTTGACACTTTTGAAGATGTGTTAAAGTGCTCTATCAAATGCAAGGATTATTATTATTGCTGTAACTTGAATTTTTCTTTTTGCACCACAGCAGTCAGAACTGAACACCGTGCTCTCAGTGGGGCAGAGAGTACTCTGTAGAGCTCTGTAACACTTTCTTTCACTTCTGCTGTATCCCTAGATCTTAGTTCATGCTATAATGCTTCCTTACACTATGCTAATGGTTTCATTGATTTATCAAAGATTTCATAGTTCCAGTTGAAATTCTACGTACTATAACACAGAAAACGTCAAATCATCCCATTGTGCTTGTAGGTATGAAATTATCTGTTCAACTGTTCAGCTTGGCTCGATTAGTAGCTCTCTTGCTTCTGATTCAGAAGATTTGGGTTTCAAGTCCCACATTGAGACGTGCAGTTGATAGTCTAGGCTTGCACTCCAATGGGGATGTAAAATAGTTTAAAAATTTGATAGGGATAACAAATTGTGAACAAAATATTCTACCCAGGTATAAATCATGTTTTATTTTTTTGTCAGCTGGATGGATGTCTGAACACATACTGAAATGCATAATCCATGCTTAGGAGTATCCCACCTGTACAAGTTCCCACGTATTGAGATGGAATGTGTGCACTCACCCTTGAATGATGCATACTGGTTATCTAATTCCAGAGAGTATTAGGCACAAACTGACAAGAACTAAGGCTTGGCGACCCCAGAGTGCGCGTTGGGGTAACTGCTGCAGTTTAACCAGCCTAAACCGCAATGCTTGCCATTGAGAGCACTGTCTACCAAGCTTTCCTACTGCTTGTCTAGCTAGGAGCACTCTACCCTTTAGGGCTTTGGCTTGCAGGGTTAACCGGAGCTGAGTGGGAAGACTATCCCCAAGACTGGTGTAACCTCCAAGTTGTGCCGATAGTTAAGCTGAGTGGTCTGTCATCAGCAATGCCCTGGAGCACTGCAGACCTGCCTACCAGGACCACTCCAGGGTTGACTTAATTTTGGCATTCGCCAAGGATGTTATCTCGGAGCCCGTTCAGCTCCAAGGAGACCCGACTTTACTACGCCTGCCCCTCCTCCGCCCGGGAGGATGTTTTGAACCTGTCATTCCCTGAAAGAGTGACTGGATACCCATACCTGAAAAACATTGAATTGAAACATTTTGTTGAGAAAATGTAGTTTCTTTTTGTTTTAAAAAATGCATTAATTGCACCTTATTTTGCCCCCTCTCTGTAGTCAAGATACTAATGGTGCATAATTTAACTTTGGAAAATGCTGTGGTTTGTCAAGGGCATCCTGCAAATAACAT